GGAAGCCGAAAACACAGCAACCGACGCAAGGCCCCTCAGGAGACAAACCCATCAATTGCAAGTGTGATGGAGAGGACTGCTCTGAAGGAACCAGAACAGCCTCCGAAGCAAAACCCGGCCTAGCGGAAAAACCAGCAAGGTGAAGTTCACTCTGGCACAGCTGTTCAAGCAACCAATGAGTGACCCGGGACCTCCCCTCCAGGAACAGCCGAAGGCAGGACCGCAGCCGGAGCAACACAGCAGGAGGGAGGGACATGGATGCCGTTCGAGAATCCCAAACCAGACCCCAGCTAAGTCCGAACCTGGGACGGAACCAAATGGAACTTCCTCTAGTTCACCAGGAACCTGAACCTGGCGAGCTGGGAAAAAAGAATTCCTGGCGAGCAGACAAGCAGACCAGCTGGGAGCTCACACCAACCTGTCATCAAGGTAGGTCAACACCTGAACACCTAACAGACGAAGACAAGCCACCATGACCTGGGTAAGAAGCGTAAAAATGCGAGGTGCCGGATTCAGCCCGAATGGAAGGCAACAAAAGCGGTAAGCCTGATGCCCCACCACGAAACCTAACCAATCCCTGAACCCCAGGTAAATAGGAACGTGCCAATAAGCATCCTCGAGTTCCAGGGACACCATCCAAGAACCCAGATCGAGAAAAGGGCGGACCTGGGACAGAGTGGTCATCCGAAAGGAGAGCAAGGAATCCAACGGTTGAGACAGGACAAGCCAAGAATGAACCAAAGATCCACACAGTCCCATTTCGGAACTGGGAACAAGTAAGAAACCAACTTGAGGGACGAGGTCGTTTCAACCACATCCAAGTACACCTACTCCAAGATAACCTGACAAAGAGAAGGGGGAGGAAGCCTGCCCCGAACATCTAAGAGGAGGAGGAGCTGCTGCCCAATGCCCCCAAAGGTTGGATGACAAGACCCGAAACACCCATGAATCGTGGGACCAAGCATGGGCAAACAGGGCCAGCATCCCCCCCCCCCCCCAGTCAGTGGGGCGACCCGCGAAAGGACTGACGCAACCTCCGAGAAGCCAACCTTCGTGCAGTGTGACCACTGAGCTGACCAGACGAAGAAGGCCTCAAAGGAAACAGTGACTTAGAAGCTGGCACCAATAACCCACCTCAAACTACCGAAGCCCAAGCCCTGGAAATACCACTCCAGGAAGAGCAAGAACTAAACCCCTGGAGTACCAACAAATTGGAAATAGGACGGCAACTGGAAGATGCTGCCGTCAAAAACAGTCACAATGACATCGGAAAACAACAATGGACAAAAGGGAGTCGAAGACTGAAGAGTCAGGCACAAGCGGAGTCAAGAGAGAGAGGGCAAGGATGGCTTGTCGACACGCGAGACAAGAGGCAAAAACATGGAAACTGCCTCCCGGTAGTTAGGGGACAAACAGCTTCAGCAACACTGCCAATACCCGAGCTGCTGAGACCAGCACTGCAGTTGAAGGCTCAGCACTTGGTGCCTCCACATCATCCGAAAGATAGTCCGAAGACAGCTCCAGAAGACTAAAGAAGCGCAAGACCAAGGGCAAATGACCACGAGCGCGATGCTCCTCGGCAACCAATGCAGCCGAAAGCACAGGGACCTGAGAGTGCAACTGCAGCAACCCAACCTCACGAGAAAGCGCGCAAGGGCGTAAAGGCACTCCTTGAGGAACTCAAGAGTGCCTCCCAAGAATACCTGTAACACCAAGGAGACCTCATACAACTCAAGCGTGATAGTATGAGAAAAACAGTGCCAAGCCCCAAGAGCAAAGAAAGGGCAGTTTGCAAGCCAGGAAGACCTTGGAATCTCATAACGCACCCAGTATGGGGAAGAGGAACCGAACTCAAAATAGGACGGGTCCAAAACAGAGGCGAATTCCAGGTCTCGCAGGAAGAATGCACTAAGGGCAACCCGAACCTTCGCAGAGGAAATCCAAGATGTGGGGCCTCGTAGCCTGGTGGATAGCGTGCAGGACTCGTGATTCTATGGCGCGGGTTCGATTCCCGCACGAGGCAGAAACAAATGGGCAAAGTTTCTTTCACCCTGAATGTCCCTGTTACCTAGCAGTAAATAGGTACCTGGGTGTTAGTCAGCTGTCACGGGCTGCTTCCTGGGGGTGGAGGCCTGGTCGAGGACCGGGCCGCGGGGACACTAAAGCCCCGAAATCATCTCAAGATAACCTCAAGAGGTAGAAAACCTCTGGAAAGACGAATCCGAAGAACCCAAGGAACCCAGAAATGAACCCTGGAGGGTTACCCCCAAATCAAATTCACACAGGGAAGGAGGATACGAAAACCTAGAACACTGCAACAACAACCTCTGCCCTAGGAGGCCTGATTGAGGACTGGGCCGTGGGGACACCAAGCCCCAAAATCACCGCATGGTAACTGCAAGGTAAGGTAAGGTAACTCTCCCGAAGGCACCAAAGCCCAGTCAGGGTCACCCCAAAAGTCTCGAGGAGACTTCCTCAATGCTCCAGGAACCCCCGACACAGGTCCCAGGGCAGAACCCACATCCACGCCCACTGCCCCTAAAGAAAAGGCAGAGTCCAAGGAAAAAACCTCCAAGAAGGGGGTCTGCTGGGAGAACTTAGAAGCCTCGGCAGGATGATCAGGCTCAACCGACTCCATACCCACATCGGATGTGGCAGCACCCGAAGCCGCCCAAGTCTCGTCCCGAGCTAAACCCCGCTCCAACTCCGAAACCCTCAGACATTTGGGAGGCGGGAACATGGGAGGGAGGAGAAGGGCGAACCACTCTCACCGGGGAAGGCATGAGGAGAGCGGGCAAAACCAAGATTAAAGTGACCAACAGCCCCAATTTCGGGTCCTTAAAACCAGAACAGGGCAGCTCTGGGGCATCCGACCGGACCACTACCAGGGCGCATTGCAACAACAAAAACCTAAACTGCAATGCAGCCGCTGCCTGATCTCTGAGGTTTTCCAAAGAAGAATGGGTAAGGTGGAGGACGAGCGATAAACAAGATCCACATAACTCCGGGTTGTAAGTGTCACCGACCCAACAAGCAGCATGACGGAGGCAGAACAGATGATCGTTGCCCTGGCAAGGTGACAAGGGCAACAAACAACCTTCAAACTCACACAAAGTGAGTGGGGTCTTGGAAGACATACCCATAGTCGCACAGGGCCCCAAGGGGGTTTACCAGGCCCTGCAGGAGAAGGAATCCTGGCCCCAGGAGGGCAAACTGACCCCACAAAGCAGTGAGTGCAACCTCAAGGGGCCAGAGGAGGAGCACCAAACACAACTTAGGTGAACCTAATCAAAAGCTAGGCAGGCCTCCTTTAGGAAAAGAAAAAAAAACTTGAAACCCTCGAAAATACACCACAAACAACCAGAGGCCAGAGTGTCATGACCACTGCGATTATGCAAGCTGCACAAAACACCATGTGCCCCAGCCAACAACAACAACAACAAAATTTCCTACCTAGAGCCAGAAAGAGCCCCCCCCCCATGACACCCCTGCTGAACCCTAAGGGCAAGATCAATGAAAAGCGACACCAACCTCAACAAGAGTGTAATCCCAAATGTCCCAGGGAAGAAAACCCTGAACATGCAAGGGGCGTACGTACCGTGGTGCCTAGGGAAGGTAACCTTAGACGCACAAAACACACACAACTGGCACAAATGCACAGGGTAAAATCCAGGGGAGGGGGGTGGGGGTGAGAAGCTCTTAAAGAGCAAGCATGCTGGTTGAGTGGACATTTGCTTGTTTGTTATTTTCTCTTGGGGGTGGGGGGCAAAATTCTAGGCCTCTGTTCAGTCTTGGCTTGCAATGTTTTACCAGTTGGGGCTTGTAATGGTTCACTTACCTTTCTGGGGGATACCCCTCAGTCGATGGCAGACATGACTATACTCTCACAAAGTGGAGTGTACATAATCCATTGCTCCCTGCCTCTCTGAGAGAACCAAGTTCTGGCTCATAGTTCCCAGTAAGCATAAGGATTCCAGTAACTGATGCTATAGACTAATATGGCAGATATCAGTCTGATAGCTGCAGGAAACAGACGGGGGTCCCCCCAGAGAGTGCAGAATTGAGAACCACACCCCCCTTACCCATCTCTTGAGGTTATCTTGAGATGATTTCGGGGCTTTAGTGTCCCCGCGGCCCGGTCCTCGACCAGGCCTCCACCCCCAGGAAGCAGCCCGTGACAGCTGACTAACACCCAGGTACCTATTTTACTGCTAGGTAACAGGGGCATTCAGGGTGAAAGAAACTTTGCCCATTTGTTTCTGCCTCGTGCGGGAATCGAACCCGCGCCACAGAATTACGAGTCCTGCGCGCTATCCACCAGGCTATGAGGCCCCTACACAAGGATATATTGACTCTCTTCTTTAAACACCATTAGGATAAGTATTTTCTTCCTCCTTCCATAGATGTACATGAACTGTATCCATTAAAATCAGTCCTCCATATACAGTCACTTGTTTTCAAATCAAATCAAATCAAATGTTTATCAAATCAAATCAAATGTTTATTTAGGTAAGGTACATACATACAAGAGATTTTACAAAGAGTGATGGATTTATAGATAGGGCTAGTACATACAATGCCTAAAGCCATTATTACGCAAAGCGTTTCGGGCATGAAAAACTTAAATGACTAAAGCTTAATACTAATTGAGCATAAAGAATAAAATGAGTTGAGAACAAATAAAAAGAAAGAGATAAAAAAGAGGGGAACATGGCTGAAAAAGCAGCACAAATACAATTCTGTCGACAAACAGCGCCATTTAAAAAAAATTTTGCTGCAACTATTCTTTATGGTGGGTTTTTTCCAAGTTTTTGTGGTTGATCTCTCTCATCCCTATTTCCCTTGCCTCCGAGTATAAAGTGAGCCAGATTCAGGAAGAATCTGGTGTACTCGGCTAAGGCTTATTGGAACCAGGATTCAACTTGGGTAGCAAGTGAGGGCTCCCTCCCAGAAAGTGTCAGAGTGGAAGTACTGTACAATACTGTTGCATAAACTCTTACCAATAGAGCTAATATGGTGATCAGGAATAATGTCAGCATAGAAAGCATGGCAACCTTGCTGCTTAAAATCCACATTAGTGTCTTCAACAAGTTGATCATTCTCCCCTCGTGATGACAGTTCATGGAGTGGCTGCATCCAACTGCAGCATAAATGAGGCAAGTTAACACAATGACAAACAGTTTACATGCCAGTAGTAACTTTATGCATTTTATATAATGAAGGCATATGCTGTAAATAAAGGGGGGGAAAATGGAAGAAAGAAAATGTATGAAAGAAAGAAAGAAAAAGAAAGAAAGAAAGAGAGAGAAAGAAGAAAGAGAAAGAAAGAAAAAGATAAAGAAAAATAAAAAAAAATAAAAAAGAAAAAGAGAGAGAAAGAAAGAGAGGACGGGAGAGGGAGAGGGGGAGGGGGGGAGATAGGGGAGCAGGGGGGGAGAGAGGGGGGAGAGAGAGGGGGGGGGGGAGATAGGGGGATACAGGGGGGAGGGGGAGAGATAGGGGGGAGGTGGGAGATAGGAGGGAGGTGGGGAGAGAGAAACAATTTGGAACAAAGAAAAGGCAATATAATTAAGTGAAATCTATAAGTATCCCTTTTATGGATATCCAAGTGTATAATTATTAATTCAAAGTTAACTAAATACAGTACCATAATCTAGATCAGCATTTTCAAACTTTTTTCCTGCAACTCGCAGCAAGAACTGCACTTAATATTGTGACCCAGTATGCCTGTGTGTAATATGTCAGACACAACCTCTATTAATTATGTTTCTTTATTTACTTTTGACAAATTAAATTACAAATTTGTTTTAGGAAGAATATAGAAAAATAAAAATAAATATTTTGCATGAAATTCTAACAAAATACACAGTACACAATAACTTTTAATAAAGTTTTCATTTAATGAGAAGGATGCGGTTGATAGTTCATAAGTACTATAATGTAGATGATTCCAATTTGGAACACAAGAAGACAATGTCACACTCATATCTGGTGAGTGTTTAGCTTGTTTCTCTCTTTCGTTTTCAAATGAGTTAATGTGGAAATATAAATTTTCCACAATTAAATTATAGTAAAAATTAATAGTGTCAAGATGGCCTTTTTACTTAAAAGTGGAAATTCTTCTATAACCTTAATCCAAAATGATGACAAATTTAATTGCTCAAAATCATTCCCGAGTGTAAATCAATTACCAAGATACAGCAATTGAGCACCAATCGCCTAGCAACAAGAGTACCATCAGTCTCGTAAACTGCAATGATGAGTAATGAATGTGAATGAGATTGTCACACTCACTTGGTTATTTTTTGTGGATTTTATCTGTTTGTTGTGACCTATTTTACTTATTTTGTGACCTACTATTGGGTCAGAATCCACAGTTTAAAAAATCCTGATCTAGATAACCCTTTTGCTGTGAAGTACGCCTATATTGTATTCACCAGAGTCATAACAATTAGCTTTCTGTTTTGCTGCATTAAGTTACATCCTGAAGAAAAAATTTAAACTGTTTCAAGCAGAAAGTCAAGCCTAGATGTGAATAGACCTGTTTGTAACATTTACAAAACAGAGACCAAATAAATTACATTCAGCAGTCGTTTCCTCTGTTTATGAATTAAGTGTAATTTAAAACCACGCACACCTTTTCATGATTGAGTTTTTCTCAAAAAGAGCTTCCTTCACGTTCAGTGTTCAGAGCACATTTCTAAAAATCACTCGCCCTTCTGAAATCTAATTATGCAGCAAAAGGGTTGAATTTGACCTTGCTACAACATGAAGAGTACTTACTGCAGCTTTGCACTTACTTTATTGCAGATCTCCAAAACTGTTTAGATGCTACGCTGGAAACCAAATTAGATGTGGTTGATGCTGTGACTGACAAGACTGAGCGGGTAACCCCCAAAGTGCCTTGCAACAGTCCCTTTTGTTCATCCATCTCATCCGAGCTGTCTTCCTCAACATTTTCCTCATCATCATCCATTTGCTGTGGATGATCAGCAGTGAGTGACAAGGTGCCTCCTCATAAGCTCAACTACTAAATTTAAGATTACAGAGTAATATGGATATTTTCATTAATTCCTTTGCAGAACAATACAGGATTGATTGTCAATCTAAACAGTGTAAATCAGATTCTTCCCAAGGTTTCCTGTACTTATTATCTCTGTACCTTCAAATTCATACATTAACACCACACCATAACTGTTTGGCTTTCACAGATGGCACAGTTCTTACTTGCTTACACATAAAACAACAAAGGGGGGGGGAAATGGCTTCATAAAAATAAACAGTATAGTACTAAACACACCTGCAGCAAAGTAAATAAATAATATAAATAGAGTATTTTTTTTATTATATATATATATATATATATATATATATATATATATATATATATATATATATATATATATATATATATATATATATATATACTGTGTGTGTGTGTGTAATAAATATCAGAGAGAGAGAGAGAGAGAGAGGGAGAGGAGAGGGGGGGAAGGGAGAGGGAGAGGAGAGGGGGGGAAGGGAGAGGGAGAGGAGAGGGGGGAAGGGAGAGGGAGAGGAGAGGGGGGAAGGGAGAGGAGAGGGGGGAAGGGAGAGGAGAGGGGGGAAGGGAGAGGGAGAGGAGAGGGGGGATGGGAGAGGGAGAGGAGAGGGGGGATGGGAGAGGGAGAGGAGAGGGGGGGGGGAAGGGAGAGGGAGAGGAGAGGGGGGAAGGGAGAGGAGAGGGGGGAAGGGAGAGGAGAGGGGGGAAGGGAGTGGAGAGGGGGAAGGGAGAGGGAGAGGTGAGGGGGGATGGGAGAGGGAGAGGTGAGGGGGGATGGGAGAGGGAGAGGAGAGGGGGAAGGGAGAGGAGAGGGGGAAGGGAGAGGGAGAGGTGAGGGGGGAAGGGAGAGGGAGAGGTGAGGGGGGAAGGGAGAGGGAGAGGAGAGGGGGGAAGGGAGAGGGAGAGGAGAGGGGGGAAGGGAGAGGGAGAGGAGAGGGGGGGGAAGGGAGAGGGAGAGGAGAGGGGGGAAGGGAGAGGGGAGAGGAGAGGGGGGAAGGGAGAGGAGAGGGGGGGGGGGAATACCACCTCTGGCTGGAAGAAGGGGACCCTTAGCCTCGGAGGAAACCACATATAACACATTAGAGGGAATGTTTGGGTCCCCTCCAATACAGTTTGTGTGTGCTTTTCTCCTACCACCCGCTCTTCATTTGTCTTTTGTTGTGCTTTAGTAGATATTCAACGGTTAACTTTCTGAGTGTTACATTATGGTGGGTAATTTAACATGAGCAGAAAGAATAAAGATGGGGGCTTGTGAACGATGTGGCTGGTGTCACTTCAAGGTCGGTTCCTGATAATGCTAAACACTCCACAAGATTCATGTATTGTAACTGATATACTGATATGCAATTCATAAATTATACTTAAAAAATCCTATTGGTTTTCTTTAATGCTTTGCCAATGAGGCCAGACTTTTGGAACACCCTTTATATACACACATACATGAGAAAATGTGTGTGTCAGAGGTTGAAGGTCATGGCTAACCTCGTTAAACTTTGCAGAATTAATGATGGTTTTACAGAGTGTCATAGAGGGGTCGGGGGTTGTCCCAGTGTCGCCAATGAAGGAAGGCACAGCCTCTTCATGAAGGGGCTGCCTTCACACTTTATAAAAGAAGGATGCTTTCATAGACTATGAATGTGAAATGTTTAGCCTAGAGTCCATAGACTTGAACATTAGTTTAAGTAATTATGCTTTTACTTTATTCACTCTCGTATTCTTGAAGATATCCTCACAGTGTACCCAAAATTTGCCAGTGCAGGCTACTGATCACATGGCTCTGTATGACTAACCATCCTGCGAGATGGGGACTTGTATTACCACTGCTGCCTTATTCACTCTTGTGTTGATGATATCCTCAAAATGCACCCGGAGTCTGCCAGTGCAGACCGCTTATCACATGCCTCTGTATGACTAACCATCCTGTGTGATGGGGATTTCTTAGCATCACCTAGTTAGCTTTTTTGACACACTGTACTCCACTTCATATAGTCTAGGGTAGCTGCACTAATGCAGATGTACCTCATTTCATAATAAAAAAAAAATGAATTCACTCCAGGTGCAAACTCTGTGAGCAGGAACTGGGACACGATCTCCCGCACTACATCACTGAATGTCCAGTTATTAGACCATTCAGACCCGTTAGCATGAGGTACCTGGAGCTTTGCAATTACTTTATTCACTCTCGTGTTCTTGAAGATATCCTCATAATGCACCCAAAATTTGCCAGTGCAAGCTACTGAACATATGGCCCTGTATGACTAACCATCCTGCGAGATGGTGGCTAAGTACCACTGCTGCCTTATTCACTCGTGTGATGATGATATGCTCATAATGCGTCTAGAGTTTCCCAGAGCAGACTACTGATCACATGCCTCTGTATGACTAAACATCCTGCGAGATGGGGACTTTAGCATCGCGTAGCTAGCTTTTTGACACACTGTACTCCCCGTTCATATAGTCTAGGGTAGCTGCACAAATGCAGATGTACCTAAATGTGTTTATAAAAAAATAGCGACTTTAGCCTTTGTATGACTAACCATCCTGTGTGAATGTGTTAATAATAATAATAATAAATAATAAAAATCAATTCAGAGAGTGCCTGAATTGACTGGAGGGTGGGAACTGTAATATATGATATTTTTTGTTCTTGTACACACAAGGAAGTGTTATTTATTATGGTATCTGGGAATGACTTACATGTGACTTAGCATCGACAAATCCATCATCTGAGTCGCCTGTGGTGTCCTCTGTGTCCATCTGGGTGTTAACTTTGGCATATAACATTGCCATTTCTACCTCATTCCTGTAGTAATATAAAAAGAAAAAATACAAATTTTAAACATAATGTTTTATGTTATCATGCACATTGTTCTTTGTCGCACATTACCCATAATACAGTATATACCTTGCCTTGCTCATGTCCTGTAAAATATTAACTATTTCCTCTCCAGATCAACACAACATCCAGAGACTAAGCGTGGGGCTCCATTCAAGCTTCAATTTTATATTATATTATATATATATAGATATATATATATATATATATATATATATATATATATATATATATATATATATATATATATAATATAATATAATATAAAATTGAAGCTTGAATGGAGCTATATATATATATTGAATATATATATATATATATATATATATATATATATATATATATATATATATATATATATATATATGTCGTACCTAGTAGCCAGAACGCACTTCTCAGCCTACTATGCAAGGCCCGATTTGCCTAATAAGCCAAGTTTTCATGAATTAATTGCTTTTCGACTACCTAACCTAACCTAACCTATTAAGATATGTTAGGTTAGGTTAGGTAGGGTTTGTTAGGTTCGGTCATATATCTACGTTAATTTTAGCTCCAATAAAAAAAATTGACCTCATGCATAATGAAATGGGTAGCTTTATCATTTCATAAGAAAAAAAATAGAGAAAATATATTAATTCAGTAAAACTTGGCTTATTAGGCAAATCGGGCCTTGCATATTAGGCTGAGAAGTGCGTTCTGGCTACTAGGTACGACATTATATATATATATATATATATATATATATATATATATATATATATATATATATATATATATATATATATATATATATATATATATATATATTTATATATATATATATATAATACAGGCTTCCTGTCGCCAACAAAAATAACTAACCTGTCGAGTGACGTACACCTTAAGAAAATATAGCTATTATTAAAATAATATAAGTAACTACTGAGGGAAACATGGTGGTGGTGTCATCTTGTGGTGTGTGGGGTCGGGCATCATATCTTCACCCATATTGTTGCGACTCATTGACTGCCTATCTAGTATTATTTACAGAGTCCCACCACAAAGTATGAATAGGTCGTTTTCCTGCCGTATAAAATGTCTTATGGTAATTGTATTGGTATCATACGAACATAACGTCTCGTATATTATGAAGCATTACATACATGTTTAAACTTGTTTATGGTATAGTCTAGTATAGATAATCACAAGTACAGTACAATGCTTATGTTAGTTGATGAGTGGTACTCATAGCTAAGGTCAGTAATGTGATATGACTGACAACACTCATCATAACTACCTCCAAACTCAACATGTAGGTAAGAGTTACCCCTAGACAGTGAAGCGGGGCCGGGCTTGGGGAGTATAACCCCCACAACACACTCCAGGTATACTCCAAGTATACTCTCTTACAACACTTCAAGTTAAGTGACCCTTCACAAATATGTTTCACACTTAAGACTTGTGTAACTAGTAGGCGGCATATATTTCGCTGCATGCACACCGCTGTCTTAGTAATGGTGTAATGGTGTCATAGCAATATGGTCACCATAATTTACTAGTTATGAACGTCATAGCAAGGCGAGGATATAGTCTGTACCGCAAGAAGGCCTCCTACACCACAGTAGAAAGTACAGTCTCAGAACCGATTAATCTAACTTCGATCCCAAGGCAGGAAGAACTTTGCACCTAATGCCTCTGTTTACCTAGCAGTATAGCAGTAAACTATACTTGGTAGTAGTTAGTAGTACTTGGGAGTTAGGCTACTGTTGTGGGCTGCACCCTGGGAATGGTCGGTTGGCCTAAGGAGACTTTCATTACCTATCTTGAGGTTATCTTGAGATGATTTCGGGGCTTAGCGTCCCCGCGGCCCGGTCCTCGACCAGGCCTCCTTTTTGTTACACCCCCCCCCCCACGGAAGCAGCCCGTAGCAGCTGTCTAAATCCCAGGTACCTATTTACTGCTAGGTAACAGGGACATCAGGGCGAAAGAAACATTTTGCCCATTTGTCTCCACTTCCACGGGGAATCGAACCCGGGACCTCAGGACTACGAATCTGAAGTGCTGACCACCCAGCTGTCAGGCAGGAAGGTACCTAACAAGGTTCCTTTCCCTGGTTGATACCTGGTTGACGACAGTAAAAAGTCCTTTAGCCAAATAGAGTAATACCGGGAGCTTGTAGCCCCACTGGACACTTGACATCTCAACTACCTCGAGGACTACAGTATTTGGAAATGTAGAGTGTGTAAACTAAGGAGAGTGGGAGTGGTTGCTTTAAGTAGACTAACTTACCTGGCATTGAGAAGGTCTTCCAGATGACTGGGCGTTGCGTATGTGAGTGCGAAGTCGAGGTACCTGGCTCTGGCGACAAGGTTAGCGTACTGGTGAGCTCGTCCCAGCTGCTCACATACCAGCCAGCCCTCGTGGTAGTCTCCTGATACCAGCTGCTCGCACACGCTGCTTGCAACAACATAGTCACCCGCCTGCAACACCACGCTACCATAAGACACGCACTCTCCATCAACACTACAACACACCAATTGGCCTAATTCATGGAAATCCAGATAATTATGAAGTAATAGCAGAAAACCTATACAGATCAATACATCGACTAAGAACGACTTTACATTGCCATGTTGCATACATTAGTTCTCTGCTTTATAACAATATCACCTGTCTCTTGCCTTGCCCTGGTAAACTTAAGTAATTAAAGCTACACGAGTCATAAAATGTAATACATTTGAGAGTAGTAGACACAGTGTTATATTAAATGTGATGAAAATACAATATAAATGAAGTAAACATGATATAAAAATTATAGCCTAATTTTATGCAATTTTGTCAAACATAATATTTGATCTTAAACCAGCCCATACAACAGCGTCATTTTAAAATTACAATAATTTTTTATTTTCCTAAATTCCAGGTTGCCACACGAGACACAGCAGAAAACGTTGAGATTGCCACACATGAACGCAAATTGCCATGTACAAAATATAACACAAAAAGAAACCAGGAGTTGTAGACACACTGAACGATGGATCAGTGTGTACCTGGCCAGGCCCTGGTAACCCACCTCTCACTCATAATAACTACTCAATACCACTCGGCAATCAGAGCAGAGCTTCCCAACGTAATGTGGACGGCCTACAAGGTGGAACTTAAGAACACTGTTTATCCCAAAAACGGTGGGTTTTCTGAGGGAAGAGAAAACGTATGTCTGGAAGCTGACTTTAACCGCCCAAGCTGCGCGCACAACGGGCCGAGGTTATATAAGCTCAGCCTGCAGACTGCGTGGCCCCTCTTCCCGCCAAGCAAGCAGCTGCTCACTTACAAAACTTACACTTACACTTAGAAAATCAAGATTACGGGTTCATGTACGGCCGTTTAATCCATTATTCACTAATCGAACAACTAACATACTTTTCAATTACTAAAACAAGTTTCGATTAATACTGTCGCAACATAAATGAAAAAGAATGTTATTTGGTCATACAATAGCAGGCATTCTCAAAATGGCGGATCCCAGACGGGTCTTACAATACAACGCCAATTAGAACATAAACAATAATCCCAGCTAGCTTAAAGGAGCTTTCGCGGGCAACTTGCTGACAATGTCAACTTAGTTGACATGTTGTCTCATCTTTGGAAGTGAGAACTCTTTGTTCTTTATGTCTGTGTACACATTTTTGGATGCTCTCGTAATCCCCTCCCCCCCCCCCCAAAAAAAAGGGCAGCACTAGTATACTTGCTTAAAATTTTGAATTCAATTATCAGTTTTGTATTAAAATATACAGCATTAAAACTAATGCCAAATCTGAGCATCTTTTCAAACAATTTTCTGAGGCTGAAAATGGTGACCATATAATACTATTGATTCACACCTGAGACAGACATGAATCTTATCAAACAATTTCCTTGTGTTTGATAAGATTTATCGAACTATTTAATATTCTTAGCGAGTTTTTTAAAGACAAACCTGAAGTGAAACTTCTACACACTGTTGACGGTGAAGCATTTGTGAGATATTTAACATATATCTTTGAAAACCTGAATATCTTAAGTAAATATTTGGCTTCTAGGGATTTCTGCAATTATGTTCAAAAGAAAGTTTTATCTAAAAAAAATCTGGCTAATTTTGTCGGCTGTTTGTGTCAAGTTGGTGATGCTGCTGCACTTGTTACTGCCGATTACCTCACCAAAATGATCTTTGATTTGAATGAAAGATTTTCCGATTTGAAAGAAAATTGTTTTCCACCTTGAATACCTCGGCCAATGCTACTGGATGTGTGTGGCGGCCTCGTAATATGATCACACATGCCAAACGACGACACAAGTAAAACCTTAGTTTAAATAAAAGGAACAATGGCGTAGCTCTGAGATGAAACAAAATATCCAAACCCAAGTAATTTAGCAAGAAAATTACTGTTACCATTCCTGAGTTATATTTAGTTGAATGTGGGTTTAGTGCTATTAGTGATTTATTGTTAACAAAAAAGAGAAATCGACTGGATATTACAAATCATGGAGATTTGATATTAAAATTAACCGATTGATTGTCCAATTGATTGGGGTTACAGCTGGCAATCCCAATCATTATGGACGAAGAGGACGCGAGAGAGAATCAGTAATAGCGAGAATCCGTCTTGGATACAAATATCCATGGAGAGACTGATGGAAACAACAGTTGATCAGCGAAGTTGCAGAATCTGTGGTGAGAGTGATGGACACCGCCTTGACCACTATCTACGTGAATGTGAACACCTGAGAGACATTAGAAATATGTGTAAAATAATAAACCCCACATTGTTTGAGGTAGGAAAACACTATTTGTCAAATATTGATACTGTTCTTAAAAGATTTCCCCATTTTGCACCCGCAAGATAACGTAAGCTTTTAAGGGTTGACAGACGTTAATCTTCTTGTTTGAGGAGCTGTTCACTTGAGACCGTTAAGCAAGTCCCAGCTGTGTCTGGGTACAAGTGACAGGATGAACAACCCAGCGGGTTTTCTTCCTATTGGGGAGTGTTGTACATGCTGCTATGGCGGTGTGTCCATTCACAGGATGAGTGGCGCTGCCCAATACTGTCACTATGGCGGTGTGTCCACTCACAGGATGAGTGGCGCTGCCCAATACTGTCACTATGGCGGTGTGTCCACTCACAGGATGAGTGGCGCTGCCCAATACTGTCACTATGGCGGTGTGTCCACTCACAGGATGAGTGGCGCTGCCCAATACTGTCACTATGGCGGTGTGTCCACTCACAGGATGAGTGGCGCTGCCCAATACTGTCACTATGGCGGTGTGTCCACTCACAGGATGAGTGGCGCTGCCCAATACTGTCACTATGGCGGTGTATCCACTCACAGGATGAGTGGCGCTGCCCAATACTGTCACTATGGCGGTGTGTCCACTCACAGGATGAGTGGCGCTGCCCAATACTGTCACTATGGCGGTGTGTCCATTCACAGGACGAGTGGCGCTGCCCAATACTGTCACTATGGCGGTGTGTCCATTCACAGGATGAGTGGCGCTGCCCAATACTGTCACTATGGCGGTGTGTCCACTCACAGGATGAGTGGCGCTGCCCAATACTGTCACTATGGCGGTGTGTCCACTCACAGGATGAGTGGCGCTGCCCAATACTGTCACTATGGCGGTGTGTCCACTCACAGGATGAGTGGCGCTGCCCAATACTGTCACTATGGCGGTGTGTCCACTCACAGGATGAGTGGCGCTGCCCAATACTGTCACTATGGCGGTGTGTCCACTCACAGGACGAGTGGCGCTGCCCAATACTGTCACTATGGCGGTGTGTCCACTCACAGGACGAGTGGCGCTGCCCAATACTGTCACTATGGCGGTGTGTCCACTCACAGGACGAGTGGCGCTGCCCAATACTGTCACTATGGCGGTGTGTCCACTCACAGGACGAGTGGCGCTGCCCAATACTGTCACTATGGCGGTGTGTCCACTCACAGGACGAGTGGCGCTGCCCAATACTGTCACTATGGCGGTGTGTCCACTCACAGGACGAGTGGCGCTGCCCAATACTGTCACTATGGCGGTGTGTCCACTCACAGGATGAGTGGCGCTGCCCAATACTGTCACTATGGCGGTGTGTCCACTCACAGGATGAGTGGCGCTGCCCAATACTGTCACTATGGCGGTGTGTCCACTCACAGGATGAGTGGCGCTGCCCAATACTGTCACTATGGCGGTGTGTCCACTCACAGGATGAGTGGCGCTGCCCAATACTGTCACTATGGCGGTGTGTCCACTCACAGGATGAGTGGCGCTGCCCAATACTGTCACTATGGCGGTGTGTCCACTCACAGGATGAGTGGCGCTGCCCAATACTGTCACTATGGCGGTGTGTCCACTCACAGGATGAGTGGCGCTGCCCAATACTGTCACTATGGCGGTGTGTCCACTCACAGGATGAGTGGCGCTGCCCAATACTGTCACTATGGCGGTGTGTCCACTCACAGGATGAGTGGCGCTGCCCAATACTGTCACTATGGCGGTGTGTCCACTCACAGGATGAGTGGCGCTGCCCAATACTGTCACTATGGCGGTGTGTCCACTCACAGGATGAGTGGCGCTGCCCAATACTGTCACTATGGCGGTGTGTCCACTCACAGGATGAGTGGCGCTGCCCAATACTGTCACTATGGCGGTGTGTCCACTCACAGGATGAGTGGCGCTGCCCAATACTGTCACCCCTCGGGGCAAAATCTAAAAATCTAACCAAGCCATTGCATGGAGTCTATAATTGTAAGAATTTCAAGAACCTCTAAATTAAAGCAATAACTAGTCCAATCACCAGGTAGCATGCATTACCCATATTAATTAATCACCCTTAAATATGCTAAATCTAAAACCACAATCCACAGTTTCCTTTAAAGCCTTTATACACCCCTATAATGCCATTCCTAATATTAAACGTTAAGTACTTGTTATGATCCCAGGTAGCCAGGAGGAACGAGTCTACCTGATGAGAGTTATGTTTGCTTACCTCACCAGAAATTAAGATCAGTGGGAGAAATATGTGCAATAAACGTCAGTAACTTAATAATACAGGCAGAGAATGGGCATCTTGTCAATGTTAGTGGAAATAAGATGTCGATATTTTGGTGACGTCGTGACGTTAGCATGACGTCGTGACGTTACTCGAGTTGCTGCAGTGTTCAGAGGTGGACGTGCGTTTCAGTATCTTAGGAATATAGAGCCATACGACTCTGGATGAAGTGTTAGAGTGACGGCTACAGGTTCATAACTGTTGAGGAAGCTGCCAAGGGCACGACGCTTGTTACTTCTCGGTATTTGTGAAGATTTGGAGACGACCATAAGACGACCTGAAGCACAGGTGGCCGTGCCTGTGTGGAACTTTAAATCGTGGTATCCACAGGTGAAGGAGGATAATCAGGTGTCTGTGTGGAGCCTGCCAGGCGACTGTGTGAGCTCAAGTCAGGAACAGAA